TGATGTTGTTTTTATGTTTTTTTTGTGTGTGTTTTTTTTTCTTCAGTGTTCCTCTTCTCTTATGTTACAATTGTAGTATTTATTGGGGGGGATAAGGGGGTGGAACTAGTTGGGGGAGGAGGGGGGGGAGGGGGGGGGGGGGGGGGGGGGGGGGGAGTTGTTTGGGAGATTTGGAAAAAATATCCTGAAGCCTCCCAAGCAAAGAAAAAAAAGTTCATGCATTGCCAGCTCTGAGGAAAAAAAAATCACGTATGCATGGATGGTGCAGCCAAAGAAAAAATTCTTACAAATCCTTAGCCTGAGTAGCAAGCGTTTCTGCTTGGTTTCGGAGCAAAAAAAGGCCGAGGAACTGGATTTTCGATTTTGGCGGCGCGAGAAATGAAACGAGAGCCAAAAAACGTATCAATGAAATTGATTGTAATAAGTAAACACTATTAAACCAGAACAGAACGTTGTCACATTTTGTAGCTCTACTGACATTATGATCTGAAGATTAAGTACATTAAAGGCAACTTTGAATTGAATGGAGTACTGAACAAAACACAACAACACTTGGATTCTAAAATATAATTGCTGGATTGATTAATAATGGTGATTAAACTGGCTGGAGTGGAATTTGGTTTGAAGTCATAAGAGAGATTTCAAAATTGGAGGAGCGCGCAGCGCGAGTTTCTATTTGAAATCACAAGTATTATTTCGGACCAAAATTGCACGACACGAAGTTCAGTTACCACTTTATTACAGCCATTTTGAAATCGCAGAATTCAGTCAGTACCAATATTTTATTGATCAAGTAGCCGGTTTGTTGAAAAGCGGACACAAAAAGGCGGTTACATCTCATTTTGTATTCGAAACAGAAATGATTTAATTTGATATAGAGCAAAAATGGGGCGATTTAGAACAGAAATGATGCGATTTAGAACATGAATGTTGAATTAATCACATTGCTGAGAGCCAATCAAAGCTAAAAAAAGGGAACAATAAATAACACACAACATGCAACCTTTAACAATTGTGGATTAAATATTGACTGCAAGTGCTGGCAAAACACTGCACAATAGTAAAGCATATTCAAGCATATTCTTAAAACAAGTACAGGTATAGGCAGTACCATGTCTGATTCCGGAAACAACATTTAGTCAAAACAAGCCTCGAATCAAAACAAATTTTCTCAAAAGTCAGCAAGTGTTTTGTAATGATTTCGATCCCGAGATCATAGTTGTTTAATTACCACTACTGGTTTTCATCGCATGTGATCGCATGTGTATAATGATCAATTAACTCTTCTGGATGGAAAACGTCTTTGGATTCCAAGTACCACATGTCACCCAGTGGAATGTCCGTAACTGCAGTGCTGTACCCAGCGCAACAATTATCCAACAAGTCACTCAAAGCACTGGGGGGGAATAACGAGTAATGCAAAACGAGCCAAATGATAATAAAGGCAACACTGCCCCATTCATAACATTGGCTTATCATTAAAATGTCCTTCTTACACTCGTAGGCCAGAACTACAATTCCTTCAGGATTGATCCTGAGCATGGGAAAGGCATAAGAAATCTTAGGCTGGCGTTGCCGTTGAATACAGGCAAAAGTTATTATCGTCGCAATACATTGCGAGAGGGTTTCAACGCTGTCTTTCCCCGCTACTATTGCCTTGTCAGGCGAGTCACTGTCGGGTGGAGATTGTCTCCCCTCTGAAAACAAAAAACAATGCAATAGTTTAATATCTCTGCAAAAATAAGCTGATTTGTAATGGTCATAGGACTGAGTGGAGTACAATTGAAATTATGAGCCCGATTACCCCTGAATTGTACGACGAGAAATCCTATTACCAATTAATCGTATCAAAATACGAGAAACTTGCTAAAAAAGATGTTTTTAAGATACCCAAAGTCAGTCAGTCAGTTTTCAATATAAAAAAATAATATTGAACTTTCCAGGCAAATTAATTGATCATAAAGTGGAAATGTCTTACACCGGAAGTCACGTGATTGGGGGACGAGTAAGAGAAGGTTATTTTTACTCATTTTTCATTGGCTACCCAACTGTCCGATTTGACCTGTCCGATTAAGAAACAAATAACTATTGTTCAGAACTAATCAGATTCGAGAATTTTGTTATTGATACAATTATCATAGTAATACATTTTAGATTATGTTCACACTTGGTGCCCGAGCACGGTGCAGAGTACGATCCTTGCTGGGCACTAATGTCCCTAATAGGGTTCCGTTTCAGTGAGATTTCCGGCTTAACTAAGTGTTGACAAACATATATAGTCAGGCATAAGTTTGGTGTTTTCAGCAGTAAATCTGTACCAAGCATAAAACGCTTGTCCAAGATGAGTTAAGACGATTGTGCCTCAGAAAACCAAGTGTAGTGTGCAGCCAGCATTTAAATTGATGTTTTAGCGCTATTTATAGACTTCAAACTGCCTTTCATTCAACTCAAGAGTCAAGCTGAAATTTTCGCACCTGAAATTTTAGCAAATCCACACAGACTTGTGTTTCAAGAGATCCAATTGCTTAACAAAACAATAGCTGGAAAACACTATTTGCAGATAACTAAGAGTCCTCGGTCAGTGGCGAGCAAGCAAGATGGCCACGGCTTTTTGAGCTCACATTGAAATCGACATATTCGCTTACTTCTTGTTTACTTCATGTATATTTTTTATGTTATTTTTGGCTCATTAATCATGCCGGAAAAAGTAGCTACCTTGAAAAAACAAAATGAGCAATGGAAGTCACAAATTGCCGCACTTTCTTCAGAACTAGAGAACCTCAAGGAGATGCTCGAGAAACGCAGAACCTCAGATCTTACTCGTGAATCTACAACTTGAACTTCGGACCATGAGACGGAGAGGAGTCTGCAGTTCTATAGTGATTATTACGACGACCTCAACAGTTTTCAAGCAAACGCTGTCAGAGAGCTCAAGTGTTTAAGCGACCGACTTTCTAAAATCAGCACTGAGGTGGAGTCGATTGGTAAAGCAGTCGATGACTTACAGGAGCACAGCTACCAATTTAACCTGAAGATTGTTGGCATTCCTGAATTACACGATAACGAATCTGCTGTAGAGTCCAGTGAACTTTGTCTAAAACTCTTCAACGACATTGGAGGAGAGTAACTTGGCAGGAAATTGATTATGCCCACAGAGCTCCGAAGAAGACGGCGACTGTTGGCACTCGCCCGATTATATGCAAGTTTACTCGGAGGCTGGCAAGAGATAGTGTTTTTTTCTAAAAGTAAGGATGCCTGCAAAGCGGATCCATCACATTTGGGTTTTTCGAGGCGGGTCTCCTTAGAATTTGCTAGAATCTTTCAATACCTTTCGCCGAAGATGCAGAAAGTTTCTCTGACGCAAAGAAATTCAAAGAACAACATCAGTATCAGTTCTGTTGGACGAAAGGCTCTGTGGTGTATCTTTGTAAAAATCCAGAGTCAGTTGCTCTCAAAATAAAGGATGCGGCGGCCTTACAAAAATTGGAGACGCATTCTAGTGGCTAGATCTCTGGAATTCTGGACGCTACAATGTCGACCAGGAACTAAATCAGACTCTGCGAATTTGTGAGTGATAATACAGAAGTGTATACCTGCAGTCAGTGCAATAATTCAACTACCAATTGGTTATGCTCTGAATGTTTAGCTCAAATTTTTCCATTCAATCACTTAGATGATACATCTTTTGACCTCGTAATTTTTATAAAATATTTACAGTACTGTTAACTTCTATGCTGATCGACTGGAAAAACTTTGTTTTAACCCTTTGGATTATTTGCATCGTGCTAGCAATCGTACTGATCTTGGCCCAGACTGTAATTTTCTCAACGAAAGCTCTAGTTCTTGTGATAACTTTTTTGAAGGCCAGCTAAATGAATTATTGGTGAACAAAATGACTTCGACTTATCGATCTTACATTTAAATACACGTAGACTGTATGGTAATTTCGGGAAATTCAAGCAGCTTTTAGGGTTACTCGATCACGAATTTTCAGTTATAGGTATATCTGAGAACTGGCTAAATGACAGCACTTTAGGTCTGATAGATATACCTGGCTATAACTTTGTCTCAAATCATAGGACAAAGAAAAGAAGCGGTGGAGTTGGCCTTTATTTATTTGACAAATTCGAAATCAAAATTAGATCAGACCTAAATACTTCACACCCAAGATGCTACGAGGCTATTTATCCCTAGGGGGAAAAATGTCATAGTTGGCACTATTTATCGACCGCCCGATGCATATGTAAATGACTTTTTGGATTCATTGCGAAAATTACTGTCCACTACTTCTAGAGAGAATAAGATCTGTTATGTCATGGGCGATTTTAATTCAGATCTTTTACGGCAAGAGCAACATGCCATCACAGGAGAATTGGTCGAGCTTATGTTTTCTCACTTACTTTACCCCATGATCACAAAGCCTACGCGTATAACATCTAACACCACCTCTCTTTCACTAATAACGTTACTTGTCTATCTGTTAATGGACTGATTGTATATGATTTCTCTGACCACTTGCCGATTTTTTCAGTTAGCTGGGGAAACTTTGATTACAACACTTGTACTAAAAGAGAAAGCATTGTTGTCCGTGATTTCAAAAATGAACAAGTAAACAATTTTCGTTCCTCCTTAGAACGTGTTGATTGGGAGAATCTTGATTAATCAGATGCCAATTCAGCCTATGAATCTTCTGTTAATAAATTCAGTGAAGTATATAACAAAAACATTCCTACCAAAACCATTCAACTTAAGTATCGTGTTCAAAAATAATGTCGTAACCCTTGGCTCACTAAAAGCTTTTTGAAATCTATAAGGACAAAAGCTAAACTTTACAAAGAATTTCTTAAGAACCCTAGTGTCGCTGTTGAAAAGACTTATAAAACTTTTCAAAATAAGCTAAATCACCTAATAAGGATTGCGAAAAGAAATGACATAAAAACTACATGGAAAATCCTTAACGAAGTACTTAATAAACGCAAATCTAAACAAACCTACCCCTCTTGTTTTAAAAGTAATGGCGAGCTTTTCTCAGATCCCACTTCTATTGCTACCACCTTTAGCAAGTATTTTTCTAACATTGGTCCCAATTTAGCAGCTAGGATCTCACCCTCCACTGCTAACTTCAGAGATTTCTCAAGCCGAAACCACACAAACACCTTTGGAATTTCAGCTTTTCGCAGCTGATGAACTTAAAGCCATAGTACATAGTTTTAACTCTTATAAAGCTTCTGGAGTAGATAATATTCCAGTGGGAATCATTAACCTCAGTATCGACATTATTGCTGAACCCTTAACTGAAATTATTAACCTATCTTTAGTAAGTGGATGCTTTCCTGATATCCTCAAAATCACAAACGTTCTCCCTATTTTTAAAACTGGTGATCCAGAAAAGCTTGAAAATTATCGGCCCATTTTCATTCTTCCAGCTTTTTCTAAACTTTACGAAAAAGTGGTTTATAACTAAATTGTATCTAATAAATACTTAACAAATCATAATCTTCTTTACAACAATCAGTTTGGATTTCGTAGAAATCATTCTACGTATATGGCATTGATTCAGTTGGTTAATAATATTGCTTCTGCCATGGATAACAGAGAGTCGACTGCTGGAGTTTTCTTGGACCTTTCGAAAGCTTTTGACGCTATTGATCATCATATTTTGCTCAATAAGCTCTATCACTACGGTGTTAGAGGGCATTCTTTTAGTTGGGTCTCTAGCTATTTGACAAACAGGAAGCAGCTTGTTCAGTTTACTTCAGCATGTTCTCAACCAGAACCAATTGTATCTGGTATTCCCCAAGGATCAATTCTAGGACCTCTTTTGTTTATTATTTATATCAATGACCTCCCTAATGCATCTAATCTGTTAAAGACTTTTATATTTGCGGATGATACTAGCCTTTTTTATTCTCATAAAGATCCTAACCAGCTCATTCATGTCATGAATTGTGAATTATCAAAAATATCTGAATGGCTCAAAGTAAACAAATTATCACTCGATGTCGCCAAAACAAACTATATTCTTTTTCGACCCAGGCAAAAACCCATAACTGTTAGTGATACAATTACGCTAGATAATATTGCTGTGCAACAGGTTGAGGTGACAAAGCTTCTTAGTGTTTTATTAGATCAGCATCTTTCTTGGAAATATCATATAAATCACGTTGCTAAAAAAGTATCAAAGACTATAGGAATCATAAGTAAAGGTCGCTTCTTTCTTTATTCTAAATCTTTGTAACATTGCATGATGCTCAACGTATCCATCCAATTTGAATAGAATTCTCTACCTACAGAAACGCATCGTCAGAATCATTTGTGGAACTGAATTTCTTGCCCATATACTGCACCTCTTTTTCGGACTCTTAAAATCCTTGACATTTTTAACATAAATGCGTTCTAATGTTGCATGTTTTATGTACTCATATCATAATAACCTCCTTCCTCATACGTTTAACGTACACCACCTTTCTTACTGATCGCCAAGTACACACAACATGTAATACTTGAAATGCTAATAACTACCAACCTTATTTCTGTAGAACAAACATTCAACAGTTTACAATCCTCCACCTAGGACCTAAACTATGGAACTCCCTTCCCCATAATCTTACGGAACGGACAAGTTACTCTAGTTTCAAGACTTCATTAAAAAAATACCTCATCGAGAGAGCTATAAATTAAATTCGCCTGACCATGATATGACAGAGACATTATATCATAATTAAGTATGAAGAGCCCAATTTTCTACAAGCTATTGAGCTTCTATTGGACTTCCTCGCCACTCTATCAGTTACAAAAGTGCAATCTTAGTAATAATATGTATATGTTTTTCATTTTCTTTCTGTAACATTTATTTTATGTGGCAAATGTAAATAAATAAAATAAAATAAACTTACCGGTACTACTGTCAGTCTTTAACATTTTTCCGGTGGTTCTTATAGAAACCAAAATATTTATTGTTATCATTGAGGTAGTCTAGGGTCTTAACTTTGGAATCACTCAGCAACATTTTGGTACTGGATTCTATTTGGCTCTCACAAGCAGATGAGTGAATCCAACACTTGATAAAAACCACTTTGGTCATGCATAAAGATTTTGAATATGGGAATCTACCGCAAATACTTTGTATCCAAATAAAAGTTTTCATTTTACTATTAACTTAGATGCGTATAAACACCTGCAGATCAGAGCTTTATCAATTTAATAAATCCAGAATCATTAAGGATAAAGTTCCTCTTCCAGTGTAAACAGGTCTATCCTCGGTGTTAATAATAGATTAAATTGATTGCCCACACTGCAATGCATCTTTTTTTATTTACTCAGGGGTGATTTAAAAGCCAGGGTGCAAGATTTAGGATTGGGTTTTTCTTTTCTAGCAGTTGAGATGCAGAAGAGAACTGATAAGATTTGTGAATTGAACTGAAAGAGAGAAAAGTTTCACACTGAAAGACAGTAGTGTTAAAGTACAATACATGCATGTTAAGATCAGTTTCATCAAGAGCAGTTGGCTTCCTCGCCACTTTATCTGTTAAATTAAAAGTGCAATCTTAGTAATAATATGTATATATTTTTCATTTTCTTTCTGTAATATTTATCTCATGTGACAAATGTAAATAAATAAAATAAAAATAAACTTACCGGCACTGTCACTGTCACTGTCACTGTCAGCCATTTTTTCCGGTGGTTCTTCAGTAGAAACTAGAACTAGCAGAATAACATTTACATCAGGTCATCCAAAATATTTATTGTTATCATTGTGGTAGTCTAGGGTCTTAATTTTGGAATCACTCGAGTGACCTCAACGCTCCCCCCAAAGAACCACTGCTCACATCCGAACCACATTCCTTTCCTGATATAGCCCAGTCACAGCTTTGGCTCCATTTTCAAGAACTCCTCCTTTTCAGGCTTGCATGTCCAATCACAGACCATCTTTTAAATTTGCACTGCCGAGAGAGCCGTTATGGTTGGAAATAGCACATTTCGATTCCGAGCTTAATAATGTTTACCAGAAGCTCGTGGTTCGAAAAATTGTCGCATGGAAAAAGGATATCTTAAGTTAACTTGCCCACAGAAACGGTGAAACATTTAATTTAGGGGGCATTTAAGTTCTGACTGGTACTGCACAAGGGTCATTGTACACATGTACTATTAGGACAAGTAAAAAAAAAATGTTTCTCGTCCGGATTTCTAGAAAAAAGAGAACAGGCAGGTGATTTTTTTAATCTTTCCGACTGTTTTATTATTCCAAACTGAATGCTTTTTTTTCAAATTATATTTCTTACCCCCCCACAGGGGTAAGTTCTTCGGTCAAATAATAAATGAAATGTCAGATGTTGATTGAACACAAATTTGGTTTATTTTGATGCATGCTTTAAACAAGTCAACATGATGCGTCACGCAATATCAATTGGTAGGGTGCACTGAATGCTTCATTTTAGGATTTAGCCTGAATGAAAGCTCTTGTGATTTTCTTCTTTGGCATGTATCCCCTTCATGGCATACACTGCAGAACAGCTAGCAGTCCACTAGAATTACTAAATCAACCTCACTTCCACAAAACATTTCCAAAAACAAATAATAAAAAAAGAGAGGTGGCCTCAAAAGATAAGAAACATTTTTTTTTACTTGGCCTTAGGGACAAAAAGTGTAAGGGTATTCTATTGGCATCACCTGCTCCTTCTGGATCATAGTCTGGTATAACAACCATATCTACCTCCCCATGATAACCATTTGAATAACCTGTAAATAACAGCAAAATTCTGTCAACATTTAAAATTTGGAATATCTGCAATGGAACACCAATGAAAACAGTACCATTCAGTTCTTTTGTTTGCGACCCTCGCAGTAGTCTTGTAACACCCAATCTCATTCTTTTTTGGTCAGCTAAATTGTAAGTTACCGGTAAGAGAAGTTTTCTGAGAAAGTCAAGCAAAGTTTTATTTTAAACACCCCCTTCATTTTCTGTGTGAATGTAGGTTGTCTGGATGGATTAACGAAAACCAGTCACTGCCAGTGATCATGACACCTTTGAACAGGAATTTTACGATAAAAACATTAACATCTATTTTTTGCCAATCCTGCAATCTGCAGTTTTGAAGCATCCTTTAGTAAAATTATTAGAGTCCTACGTCTCCTCTCTGGTGGAATTTCATTAGCACTGATTCGAATCTTTGCAAGAGGTAAACACACATACATGTTACCCATTTTAAGGGTCAAAACATGTGCTTGTGGCTGCCGTGATTAATGGCAGTTACCATGGCAACAGTAACTCAGCTGGCCCAAATATGGTTGCTTTCATTCATCCTCCAAGGCAACATATCTCCACACAAAAAATGAACGGGCAGTTTAAGATTTCCATTTCTTTAAATATGTGCCCAACTTTCCAATATGATGACATATATATTCATACTTAATGAGTTAGGGAAGTTGAATATGCATGTGCAGTTGATACGATTCCAGACTTGGTGCTGACCAAAAGGCATGTGGGCTCTGGGAATGAGATAATGAAACACCTCAATTTATTACTTGATAGAAGCAAAATTTTCTTACCTATCACAAGTCCGTTCAGTCCATGTTTGGCTGGCTGTTTTAATCTCTTCTCCGTCACACCAGTAATCTCTTTGATTATCAAACAGCAGCCAGATGAGAGAGGTATTAAAACTTCCGTTGCAATGAGGCAATTGAAATCTTCCGAGCATGCTTTTTTCAGGTTATTTAATGACTCAGGAACATGACTGAGAAAATCCTTCAATTGCTGGCATGCTAGTTGAGTGGCTGGGGAAGTGCCCCCTGATTTTAGTGCATTGAGTTCTTCTTTAAAAAAATCTTTCACCCATACAGCTCTCTACAAGGAAAAAATTGAGTCTCATTAAAGATTTACATGTATGGAACGAATATTGGAAAACTGTGCTGATCTTGTTCTATGTTCCTCACAGTAATATACCCTGTAAACCTCTCAATGTCACATTGCAAAAAAGCTGAATGTGTTAATTAGCCAATG